CATTTTAAATAGCTTAATAAAATCTAGAATCATTAAAATATCCTAATGTATTATAATAACATTAATTTATTCAAATGCACAACTAAAGATAGATACCCCTTGGGGCTAAGACAGTGATGCATGATATTATTCAATCTGTTCCTAGGAATAAATGATATTATATTGGTTCTAAGTCTTAAGTATCAAGCAACACAATAAACTAATGGGTTGCTATAGCAGTACATCCATATAAATGTTTATTTCACCCGAGTCTCCTGGCAGTTTTTATTCTACCCTATTTTTACTTTTTTTTGTTATCTACCCTGAAGATCTGTGGAAAACCTAGATGAGGTTGATAATGTGCATGTAATTGATACCGAGTTTGGCACATTTTGAAATCATGATGCCATGATCTTTCAGTCACTCTCCTATATCTTTTCTTTAAAAAATAATTTCCTGTGTGCTCAATGTTTAATATTTGGCAGACATCTGAGAGGAAATTTATCTGTTCTGTCTAAGAAACAGACCCTATTATTGTACAATAATATCACCTGCCATAATCCAATGTCCACTGCATTTGATATATATGTGCATAGATATTATATATTATATACATATTATATATTATTGCATTCTCATCTAAAAGATTCTTATATTAATCAATTCTTTGCTACTGGATCCACTTTTCCCATTTCATAGATGATGTTTCTAAGGATAATAAAATATAATAGCACCGTCGGACAACAGTTACTTATTGGGTCCCTGACTATTAAGAGGCCAGCATTGTTAGACACTTGTGCTTGGAATACACAAACTCACAAAACCATTGAGAAGCCTTGTCATAACAGGGCTGCACACTGAAGAAGAAACTTATTAATTAAAAATCACACAAATAGGAAAACTTCAAGTGAGAAGTATTTTATTTTACACTAATAATTTGGCCAAGTCAGGCAGAACACAATAACTTCACTGCATGAGTAGAACTTGACTTTGTAATTTTGGAATTGTGCTGAGATATTGCTTTTTTCAGACCTGAGGATTGAACTCAAGGCCTTGTACTTGCCAGGCAAATGCTCTTCTACAGAGCTAAATCTCCAACCCAAGACAGTGCTTTCTTATTTGGCCCAGTTGTATTTTTCTGCCATTCTTGAACACATTCTGCATCTTTATTATGAAAAGAGATGTTCTACTCTCTATTAGTGAAGCCAGACAGGAACAAACAAAACAGCAAGTGATACTGATAGTCTGTATATTTGGGGGAAATAGAGAAGGAAAGGAGGTAAGAGCCTGTGAGGAACCTGACAGAGGAACTCCAGTAGAGGCTGATGACTGCTGTGTAAGAGGCTGCACTAAAAGGAATAACTAACAGAACAAATAGCCAGGAGACCTCTGGCCCAAAAAGACTGCCCTTTAGCTAGCTGAACTGAAGTTTCCTCTTTATTTGACTTTCTACACCATTAGACTTCAATCCTGAGATTGAACTTGGCTTTCCTGGCACGAATGTGGCATGTCAACTGGTTATTTAGCTCATTGGTTTTATTCTCTGGTTGGACTCAATTTCTTGAAGCACTCATGATTTCTGACTCATCTCTCCAAATCAAATATAACATCCAGGTTCCTACTTGATGATTTTAATACTAATTCTATTGTGAGAAGATACCAATAGTTCAAAAGGCTTCAGAGTTGAATATTTGTTTTGCTACTTATCCAGTGGTCATAGATAAATTTGCTCATTCTTTCTAAACTTCTGTTTTCCTCATTTGTAAAATGAGATTGATAACACCTATCTCCTAGGGTTGCTGTGAACATTAGTTCACATATATGTTTGGAAACAGTCCTATACCACATGCCAACTTACCACTCAACATCAGGCATTTTTGCAAATAATGCTTTAACGTTTTAGTGTTAGATTACTTCAGCTATAAGCGTATTGAGAACAGTTAACATTTTCCACATATATAAAGCATTTCTCTTCACAGTGAAAAGAATAGAAGTATACTCATAATTCAGTGCCTGTGGTGTTTATTGTTATTACTGACAGATAGTGAGCAATGACCCCCCCAAGTATAGAGTAAGGCTGGATTTATATAGGAAATGAATAAGTTGTAGTGTAGTTTCTCTATTTATTTTTGCAGTCTTAACAATTGATGCTGATACCATGTAGTCAGGTCTTCTGTGATGATGTAACTAGGAGCTCTTTTGCTCTTCCTAGAGAGTTGAGCCTAAGGGAGATGGTAATTATAAAGTTTGCAACATTCCATAAATCAGAAATGGAGGAATACTTCCCATGTGCTATTCCTTATTGAAACTGAAAGATATAGGGGGCTATTTCTAAATACTTAGTGGTTTGGCCTCTGTCACACACAAGTTTTCAGCATCTGTTGGAAAGTAAACAGCTTGTGGCTCACAAATTTATGAGGCTTTGGCGAGAGAGAGAGAGAGAGAGAGAGAGAGAGAGAGTAATGGTCCTTGATATGGAGTAAACTTGTATTGGTATCATAGGACAATGGGGTCTACAGTAATGGAAGGACCTTATAACCATATCCCCTATGATAAAAGTACAACAAAGAAAAAATGACCAGGTAATTCCAAGTAAGCACCATATGCTGATGATCTTCTTGTAAAGAACAAGATGTTATATTTAACTCCTAAATCAGTAGAATTTCTTTTACTTTCTTTGGAAAGAGAAGATAACCTAATTCAATACATGAATGGTTTTCTGCATAAAAAATATAATCATTGGCCCTTTTGGAATAAATCTATTTCAGAAAGAAAAGGTCATCAATTAAAACCTCTTTATCATATATTTCTAGTCACATTCAGACCTTATTTGCTGAGACTTCCAGGTTAACCCCATATTTCTATATCCAGTAACTAAAAATAGAGATATCTGAGATAGAGATAGATTGATAGATAGATAGGTATATAGATATGGAGATATCTATATATTATGAAACATATCTATAGCTATATATTAAGAAACATGTCTATATATAAACTCATATATAGATATATGTATCTATATTATATGTAGATATAGATAGATAGATTTTTTTTGATATCTGATTATTTTTGTTGCTTTTCCCTTCTTAAAGACAGAGTCTGAATTTTGCTGAACCCAGTTCCTAATTATCCAGTGTAAAACTCTTTGTAACTATTTAGTGAATATTTTCTAAATTGATTTGAATAATTGAGAAAGGCCTCTCAATTTAAGATCCTTGCCTAAAATACTTCAAAGTACATCTTCTAGAGGTGCATACGCCCCTCAACTTGTAAAAGCCCCTGTCAGCTTGCTACCTACCAGGCAAAGGAAGATAAGGACACAAATGGTATTTGAGGAACCAGCAGTTTTAAAACTTTCAACAGTAAAAGACAGCAAGCCTTAGGTTTCTTCAGCAATCTCAGAAAGGTAGTTTTCCCTAGAGGGAAGAAAATCCCCTAAGATATTCCTGTTTTATGTTAGTCCTAATCACCTGCCTGGATGCTCTAAGTTAGTAGGGGTTTGAGCACTATGTGCCAGTCCGGTAAGGATGTAGATGGTACTGTTGGCCAGAGGCCAGAACTGGCTGCGATCAGACAGGCATGAGTGTGCTGCATGAGTCAGCAACATCTGTGCTTTTGCCTCCAGTTTTATTGCATATCCAGGATTCAACACCCACTCACTCAGAAAGACAGCCATAAGGAGTATCAGCAAGTACTGCTACAGTGTATGAATGCACTCTCATGAGAATGGCTCCTCCAAGCCTAGCCAGTAAAACATTCTGGTTAATTTATTCTCATTTCTTTAGCAGCAAAACAATCTTGGGGAGCAACAGGGATTTAGTAGTACAGAGAATTGCTGAGCCCTTTGGAGACCCAGGAAGACTGATTGAAGCGCTAATATTGAAGTTTGCAAGGTTATAAAGATGATATTTATACTCAGCTTATAGAATTAGTTTTTAAAAAGTTACTAATACTCTGCAGGAAAACCTGCAATAGTCACAGTGGGAATTCAGCATAAATGATAGGTTTGAAATATTTTATGCACTATTTTCCTGGATCATAGTGTGGGAACACTTCAGTTAATGTTCATGTTAAATTGTTTGGTTTATTCAACTCAAAGTTTTGTTAATCTGATAAAGTATTTGTTTACATATGTCAAAGTTAGCTATTTTTGAGTAATTCCCAGAATAATCAAGTATCACTACTATTTTAATCTGCATTTAACTACAGTATATTTTTATCTGCATTCAGGTGTAACAAAGTTCAACTTAAACTATCAAAATGATGCCACTTAAAATCTCATCTTTATAATTAAAGAGATATTTATTACTAAAATGATCACATTGAAGATGAAAAACCTAGCATATCATTTGGATTGTGGCTTTTCAAAGCCTATAACATATTGTGACAGTACATCTCTGTCACAATAAATCTTTGACTAATAGGAAAAATAATAAATCTAGAAGTTAGTGTTTTGTCATCTTCATTTTAGTAGAATTCATATTTAGAGAAAATATTCTGAAGTGAGCTTAATAGTACCTGCACTGGAGGAATCTTTTCCATTGTATCAGTAATGTAGTAGTTGGACTCATACCCACCCTGACTCAGTGGTAGGGTTAAGTTTCATGGGAGTTATCAAATATTTTCCTCTGAAATTGCCTAGGCATACACTAGTCAGGTTATCCAGAAAATGCAGGTTTCTACTTTAAGTGAAATCTTTAAATCTGTCTCTGTTTTAGTCTTTCTTGACTTTAATATATAAAATGCACTTACCTCTGAAATATAGAACAGTGGATAGCCAAGCTTTGTGTCAATACCACACAAATATGCCCACAGAAACCATCTACAGCCTGCCACGCCATCCTCACCTCCCTCAAATTTACTAGTGCAAGGAAAATTGCACTCATATTGACTAAGATGCTACATGCTAACAGGAAGGTGGTCAAACCGTCTATGGGTTACCATGACAATCGCACCTAGGATTGAAAAATGAAACTGTTCACAATACATATTCACCGACAGTTTATTTTGTCTTCTAGGCTCTTCAATGGCCAACAAGGAATTATTATTCAAAACTTTAGCACAAGATCCATTCTCACCGTTACTAACGTGACACAGGAGCACTTCGGCAACTATACTTGTGTGGCTGCCAACAAGCTCGGCACGACCAATGCGAGCCTGCCTCTTAACCGTAAGTAACCATGCTGCGGAAATGCTTTCGGGGGACTTGTGGCTCCCATAAAGAAGCAAAGGTGGAAACATAAATAAATGAACAAAAAAAACACCTAAGAATGGAGTACATTTATTTTAGAACTCAACCAGATGTAACAATTCCTTACAGAGAGGAAAGCTTGTTCCCAAAAAATACCTTTTGGGGGAATTTTATAATCCTGATAGAAATGTCCATGTTTAAAAAAATGTATCTCAGAGCATAAAAATTGGGGGGAGGGAATCACAAAAATAACAAGGCCAACTATAACACGTTTTCTAACTGAGGATAGTTAAGTGGGATTTTGTTGGCTTTTTGGTTTAAAAACACATGTTATCTCAAAGCACAGATTACATTTAGGTGGACTTTAAACTTGAGTGGCTTTCTTTAGACTCTCATCTTGTAATAGCCTGAATTTTCCATGTCATAAATGAAACAAAATATTAACTGCATAATCTTGGACAATATGCTTCATGGAGATGGCAACTAGGAGCAGATCTGTTTTCTCCAAAAACTTTAGCTTATTAAAAGAAAAAGATACTTTATGGGTACAATAATTGAGGAGTTTGACCCTAAAGTGCCTTGGTTGTTTAGCTGCTAGTCAAGTAGACAGTAGAAGTGAATACAACAGCCACAAGAATCAGTTAAAGGGAAAGAGATCTACACTTTTTTATCCAGCAATTAATTGTAGTGGGTTGTTTTGTTTTTGGTCGGTCATAGGGCCTGAACTCTTGGCCTGGGCACTGTCTCTCAGCTCTTCTGCTCAAGCCTAGTGCTCTACCACTTGAGCCACAGCACCACTTACAGCTTTTTCTGCTTATGTGGTGCCAAGGATTCGAACCCAGGGCCTCATGCACGCAAGGCAAGCACTCTACCACTGATCCACTTTCCGAGCCCTGTTTTTGGTTATTTTTTCTTTGAAACTAACTAACCAGTAAATTGTTACAAACAGTATTTTCCTAATTTTCAAACTGAGTGTTTCTCAGAATGCTCAAAGAAGACTAAAGAGTATACTATCTCTCCAATTTCATAAATTATCTGAGTTATCCTTCTGTAGTTAATATTTTATCATAATATACCATATTTATATCTGTTTTGCCATTCTATGATCATAAGCTATTCCAAAATGAATATATTGTATAGTTCTTCAAAAAAATGGCTATTTCAATTTTTCAGAAACAAGGATGGAAGGTATGATATCTCTACTACATAAAAATATACTTTAGGAAATTTGATGTTTTATTAACTTTGAATAACCATGATTAAAGACCTTCTAATGAGAAAAATGTGTGATTTTTCATCACATCTTTTATTATTTCATTTCAATGTTTCCCTACATTTAATTTTGACAGAAAAAACTTGCCTGCCATGCAATAGCCACAGTATAACACTCTGGCTTATGATTTTTTTTCCTATGAGACTGTTCTATTAGTGTAATTATGACTATAAAATATTAAAGAGATCACAAATAGTATAAGGGATAATTTATTGCGAATATTGCTATTTCTGTAGCATATTAATATTTTAAGTACATAAGGATCTGAAAGAATAAATGAATTTAAGAAGCAAAGAAAAATTAAGACTTTCTAACATACTATTATTTGCTATTTACATTTGTGCATCACATTCTAGTTTTTAAAAGTAGAGCACTAAAAGTTTGTCAAATTAGAAGCAAATATCAGTTACTTAAACATTTACTCTGACACTCTTAACATTACACCAGAAAAGGCTTTCAATGTGGAGTATTCACAACAGATTCTTCTGAATCCTCTCTGCCACTGACTTTCTGTGGGTTTAGGTGCTCTAAATAATTGTACCATTTTAATAGCTTTGTTAACAAATCTTGTCTATAATTACTAACATAGCCCTGGAAGTTTGATGAAATGTCTGTATGTGTAGAATTCTTTAAGGGAAACATCTGAAATTCTTACTGTACTAAGCATTTCTTTTTTTTTTTAACTTAATTTTATTTTATTTGAGAACATACTGTACAGAGGGGTTACAATTACATGGGCAGGATAATGCATACATTTCTTACCAAGCATTGCAGCCTCCTCCTTTGTTTACCCTTCACATCCCTTCCCAGCCTCCCCCCTCCCCCCCACCCAATCATACCCCCCTTCCCCTCCTCCCACACTGACATTGTAAAGCTGGTTTTGACATGACATTTTGTACTTCTCATTGTTGCAACAGGTCCACCTGAATCCTTAAACGACTTGTTTGTCCCCGTCTCCTCCACATGTTATACTGACATCAAATATAGTGAAAGCGGGGGTTACACTGTGGGGGGAGGGACATACAAAGCAACAAAGAAATAATCTTATAAATGCGTTAGAAACATGCATGAAAGAAACAAAAACATTAAAATACATATTTGAGGGTTCGTTTTCCTAACATCACATTCTCTGACTTTTTCCGCTTGACTCATACCTATACTAGATATTGCAAATAAGGGAAACCATGGGACCTATGTTTCTTTGGGCCTGGCTTACTTCACTTAATATAATTTTTTCCAAGCCTTTCCATTTCCTAACAAATGGGGAATCTATTGTGCACTCCAATTATTTTACTTTTGTAGAGGTATGTATGAAACATAGAGCCTCCTGAATGCTGATCAAGCACTCTATCTCTGAACAAGATCTCCAGCCTTCATAATTATAAATATGCATATATACATATATAATACATATATTTGTATACATACATATAAAACATACCTATACTTCTCTCTCTCTATATATATATGTCTACTAACTCATAACTTGCTAAGAAAATATGATCAATGTCTTATAAATTTTATCTATAGTACCACCAAACATAATGTCTGCTATTTAATAGAAAACTAGTACATCTTTGATAAAGGAATTAAGCATTAAGTGAATTAATAGCCTAATGAATAAATTAATGAGTGAATTATGTTTAAACTATAGAATGTATACTTACAGTTTCTAGAAAGAAAAGACAGTATCATTATATTTATATTATACCCTATTCTCCTAATTACTTTGAATGAATATGTTCATTTAATTCTCACAAAATTCATAGAATTAGAATCTACAATATATATTCCTCTTACAGATTAGAAAACTTAGAAAATATCAATATGGCCAAAATCAATTAAGGAATAAATGACAAAGAAAAAGGAGCTCAAGTTATTAGCCACTTTCAGTATGTGTACAAAACCAAAGTAAGAAATTTTTGTATAATTTGTACTTTTTAACTGTTAAATCTCCAAATATATCATTATCATCATTTTGGGTTTTGTCAATTTTCTTGATACATTAAAGTGTTAATGTTTATTATATGAAAGCTCATTTTAAAGATACAAGTTCATATATACCTAGCTGACAACCATTCCATCTTTACAGTCTGTATGGCAATGTACTCAACCACTAAAATTATTCAAGATTAGAAGTTAGTCCTAAGCTTATCTAACATTGGCATTTGACCTGCCAAGCAATTGCAGCAAGAGATTAGTCTTTCCTATAAGTCGGGATTAGTCTTTCCTATGAGTAGGAGAGTATCTAGTGTTAATGACCCTATCTCTTTTAATGAAGAAAGAGGTAAATTCCAAAGGTTATGCTATCTCCATATATGTTAATATTTAGTACATGTTTGAAATATGAAAATAGTCATGCACTTATATTGCATGTTTGACTTCTCAATGAATTTGTAAGACAACATGATTGGAAATATGGATTACCTGGCATGATGCTATTCAATATCAAACATACAGACTACTTGATAATAACATTCCAAAAGAGATTTAGCCACTGGAAATCAGCAATGTGACCCTACTATTTAAGATAAATCCTGAAAATATTTTCATCTACTGCTGAATGAAAATTACTCATATTTTCCAGATCACTGGGGAGATAAATAATACAAATATAAGTTCAGAGCTTTGTTGTAACTAGTACTACCAAATGGAAAGGAAATAATTTGAAGTATTTGTATGTGTGCGAATGAATAAGAGTATGTATTTTACATAATGGGAGTCAAGCAGATCTTGGCTTGAATCCAAGTTTCACTACACATTAGTTGCATGTAACTTTGTATGTTACCAACTTCCAGACCTTAATTTAACTCATTTACAAATTAAGACAGACAATACTCCCACTTCAAAGGTAGGGATTAACTGGAATGATATATTTAATGCGTTTATCATTAACCCGAAAACAAAGGAAGTATTTGATAGATGCAAACATTGTTACTCTGCTTATATATCACTTCTTTTCATTTGAAGAATAATATGTGAATAAATGAGTTTACTTGATGATTATTTGGCCAACTATTTTATTGAGAACTTACATGATAAACATTCCCATAGTGAGCCACTAGCAAGTCATGAAAATTTGAAATAATATTCCAAATATAATTTATAATTAGATCTAATTCCTTGCTTAGGGCAGTGACCATAGCTTATGACACTAAGTTTAGATCAAATGCCTTTAGCACAGCAGTCCAGATATCTAGAAGATTCAAGGAGTAAATGCAGAGCTGGAGCAACTGTTGTATTTTGAGGCTCGAATAATTCATTCAATTGGAACATTTATTTGTCACACATATATTGACTGACTGTCATGTGAAAAACATTTAGGATTTGAAAGAAAGTATTTCATATTGGGAGAAGAGAACTGTTGGAAATACTGAAAACTCCCACTTCCATGAACTCTTGAACAATTGAGAGGAACAAAGAAACAAGCAACTCTAGTGCAATATAGTCAATGGTACCATGCTGGAGCTGAGAGGAGGCACATAATCTGTCTCTCTGGCCATGAAAGGAATTCTGGAGTAGCCCATATCACTGTTTGAGACCATTCTGCAACTCAGTGTAGATAAGTCCTCAAAGGAGGAAGTCCTTTAACAAAGTTCACAGATAGAACAGTGTGCCAGCTATACACCGTTTAACAAATTAACAGTTGGGAATCAGAATCTTATTTTATTTTCACTTCTTTACCCATGTGCTTTTTTCTGGAACC